AATTCCCTTTTATTTAAAGAGAAAGGCATTGATGTAGATTCTTTTTTGAAGCTAAATTGTGTATTAATTTTTACAATGTGATTGTCAATAATAATTTTCAAATCATATTCTTTCAGTTATGGAATAATTTCAAATCTGCACACATTTATCCCCCTTATTAGTTGCATTTTAGCAACTTACAATTGACTCAGTAAGTCCTTTGTGTGCCGATTTATTTTTTAATCCTATAGAGATAAGATATTAAAGAATATTTAATTAGAGAGAGAGAGTGAGAAATGGGGTGTAACGTCCACTCGACACAAACTAGGTCATTTCAGGACTAACATATGGTTTAATTTTTTATTTCAATAATTCGCTTGTGCGTAGGGGTCTTTAGCAGTGGGAGGAAACCGGAGGACCCAGAGAAAACCCATGAGGTTGGACAGGCGTCCCTATTTAATTACAGACTAATAAACAACATTATGATTTTACACATAAAAAAATATTATTCTAATGGGTGACCTGTTATTATTTATTCACAACAGAGGTACATTTTGAAATCAAGGTATATGTATACAATTGTAACAACAACATTCAGGTAACTCAAATGTTATAATGTTTTATATTGCTCACAAAATTATAACATGATCATTTGTGGTTTCAGAAATTCAAAAATTTGATTCATATCCCTTTAAATCATTTCATGGATTTGTGGTTAGACGTAAGCCAAATCAATTCTATTGTCAAAGGAATAGGAGATGATGGGCCATTTGTGAAAGCGGATAACAAAAAGCTGATATATGCGTATTGCTTTTCTTGGGAAAACGATAAATTTTGTTACACAGCAATTGAGTTAAGCTAAGCAAATGTACCCTTAAATTGCATTAAGGGCAAATAACTGATACCCAAACACTTAAACCGGTTCTGCAAATATTGATTGGCGTAAAATATGGTGGCTAGTATAATTTTCTCCTGCATACAGATCATTGTGTTACCTAGTTTGAATCAATTTCCCATGAGGCACCATCAATCATAGACAATCAGTCTACGGTATAGAATCTTTTTGTCCAAAGCTGATGAGTAGTTGTCTAACAAGCATTAATATTCTATTCTTGGTTTCATTTTATTTAAATGAGATATAAAACCTATTTATTAAAATAGACATTGGCATTAAAAGAGTTCAGGGGCCAAAGACTAAGATCACAACACTTTACTCACTAACAGTGTACTTAAATTTGAACTCTCCCATTACTAAAACATCAAAACATTTGGAATGGAAATATGTGTAATAATTAATTTAAGAGAAAGATATGTTTTGCAATCCTGAGACCTAGTTTTTATTATTTTTCTGACAGTTCCTATCCATTCTTATTAAACTGCAATATGAAAAGACTGCTAATACCGCTCTTCCTCCATCTCTGTTCTAAGGCTTTTTTGGTCCTCATTACAATTGTGAATGGGCTCCAAAATAACCTTAGAACCGAGGTGAGTAGAGTGATATTTTCTTATTGCAGCTTAAAGGACAATATTGGTGTCAGCCATTATTACATATGGGATAGAACTGGTTAAACACATTCCAAATATAATTTTAACACATAGATCATTGCTACGGTAGATGTGTAACAAACACTTGAAGAAACGGGAAGTGACGACAAAAATGAAAAACACAAGTTATCCTTCTATATGACTGATGGTAAAGAGCAATAACAGACACCCGATCAAATTTCGTTTCACTGATAATTTCGTTGAAGCTGAAAAGTTGTTATATGAGACGGTGAGAGGATATCTGACAATTCAAAAAGATAGATTGCCAGGTAGCGAAACATAAGCCCACAGCGGCTTAAAGTCCTTTAAGCTGCAATAAGAAAATATCACATTTGTCTTCTAATTCTGACATAGTCTAATTTTTAGCAAACAAAACATTTAATATCAATTGCCATGATGATCGGAAATTGAAAATTGATAGGCTTCTTCATCTCATGACCATAAACACTGTGTACATATAGTCAATCGGATGTTAACTTTAGCCACTAAAGCATCCGCAAGATTGCAGACGGACGGACAACAATAATATGACCACATTTCAATGAGGGCGTATAAAAAAAATTGGCCGGCATTTATTTAGTGACAGTCATTTCTTTTTTGGAATTGTCAGATATCCTCTCACTGTCTCATATAACAACTTTTCGTCTTCAACCGAATGAAATGAAATTCGATCGTGTGTCTGTTATCGCTTGTTACAGTACTTCAGTCAGTTATATAGAAGGATAACTCGTGTTTGTCATCTTTTTCGTTTGTTACACTTCTTCCTTAGCATAGATCTCTAAAATTATATTTGGAATGTGTTTAACTAGTTCTTTCACATGTGTAATAATGGCCAACACCAATATTGTCCTTTAATAAGGATGGACAGGAACACTCAAAGGACTTTGTCTGTCCAGCGACAGTTCCGAAAAGAACTAGGTTTTTATAAGATATCATATTTGAATTAACATATAACAGGAAATCTTAAAGAGCCTTTACTTATAAATTACTTTATTAAATTTAACTGAAATATACATTACAGTTCTTCCATAAAAGTCAAATACTGCATTGAAATTCAAGTCTCCAAATAATTCTTGGATTAATTATTTCCATTTCATGAACCAAAACTTGCATGAAATATAGTGTGCTGCTATATATGACAGTGAAAACCAATTATGAAATTACAAAGGTGCATTATCAATAACATGTTCAATTAATCCAAGATTTCTCAAAGGACGTAAATCGTGGCCATATTATAAATTCCTCTTTTATCTACATCTTATTGTCAACATTACTCAACAAAATGCCCTATGGGCAGATTGTATATTTATATAATAAGATGGTGATCGTGATTTACATTTATTTCATTGATTGTAAATAATAGTAGTGCAATATTAAAATTCATTGAGTACATATTCAAGATACTTGGGTATCAAACAGAACACATACAACCTTTTCATCCAGTTACATGTACATGTAAGTAGGTGAAATCCCTATTCGTACTAATGACTAGTAAATGTTTATATTACTGTTATATATATATATATATATATTAATGATAAGTACATTGACCGACAAATTCAACAGAGCTTAACTGATCAACAAGGCTTTTACCCAGAGTTCTTAATCCATTTTGAAACAAACCAACCAGAATTGGGTCAAATGAGGTTCTCAAATGAGAAAATAGGGTAATTATAAGCTTCCATTACCTTTAATATAACGAGACTTCAACAAAAATAATTCTTGGTAATTTGTTATGGAGAAAGTTGTATTCTAATGTATGTGATTACCACAAAAATAACGACAAAGGTACACCTTTTGAAAATTTTCCATATTTAATTCACGTACTGGCTTAAGTTCATATCAGTAATTAATAATCCTGAATAAATTACTGTCTATGTTTACTCGATAAAACGCAAATGTTTCATAAGTCAATCTAAAATATTAGGATTTTTCTACTACTGCCAGTATCAGAAAAGGCTGTAGCCAAATTAAGCTGATACGGCACCATGGCGTTTCTTCATAACACAATTTGTAGTTTTTTGTCTATCACATAACTTGCAAAAGTTTTTATTCATTCGTCGACAATAGACAAATGGCCAGCACAATTATTATGCGAGAAACATAACTGAAACTGCTTTAAAATAAAAATCTGTAATAATGACAATATTTTTTAAATTAAGCCTCAGTCAGTATGTGTATATAATATAAAATTATCACGGTAAACAATATATTAAAACTGGTTTTTTGACCTAATTTCAACCAGATGTCACGTGTCATTGGAGATTCTGTTGGGAAAATATATTATTAATGACTTTTTTTTTTGGTGTATTCGGTGTTTTATCATGGGATTATATTCAAGGAAGATTTAAATTTACTTAACACCTGGTCAGTGAATCCATCAATGTATGATACAGTTATTATTTTAATATCTACTGGTACATGGAAATCATACGGCGCGTAGAAGACGTGCGATTCGCAAACTATGCCAAGACCGTCTTCATTCGCCACGTGGCTTATCACAATGGCAGGTTGGACCTATAATGAATAATCAGAAAGCTAGTTTTTTATTTTTTTTACCAGATTATCAAAATTACCGTTACATGTGCTAATTGAACTCGGATTATGAACCACATGGCCGATTCTCACTAATGTATGACTGTTGTTGTAGTCGACAAGCAAGTTGTTTGACTTCTTAATTAACAAGTATTAATTAACCTGTTGCAATTTAACCAAAAGTAGATTGATTTATGATACCATAGTGGTCAGTTCATTGTTTTACCAATTGGCTAGATTAAACATCAATCGGCTAAAGCCGACAAAAAACAGCCAATTAAGAACAGTGCTTTTACCAAAGGTATGAAATAAACATTTCAGATCAACTGCAAGTATGTGTAGCCCCACACATCAATAAATTGTCTATTGATTAATATGGTACTTTTTAAAATAAGGTGGGTGTGACAATACCCCTGGGGGTCGGGACATGCATCAAAATAAATAGTTGCTATTCTTACGGTATAAGGAATAAATATGCCAAGTTCCAAGATGATCATTCAGATTCAGAATTCTAGCCCGTAGACAAAAAATGCAGAAATTGGGCGTGGCTCTGCCCCTGGGTGTTGGACATGGACCAATATAAATAGGTACAACCCTATGATGGATCATACCGAATTGGATCCAAATATGTTAATAAATGCAACGTGTAGATTATTTACAGACAAAATATTAAACAAAAAGTGGGTGTGGCACCACCCAAGGGGGATGGACCATGTACCAAAATCATGTACCTAAATCTGATAAGCAGGTTGTCTAGAAGAGAACTTTTAATTGATATACTTTGATCAGTTTTGTTATTCTTATTATATAAACTATTGTTACTTAGGAAATCTAATAAACTTTTGTCATTTATATTTGAGAATTGAGAGATGAATTACCATCATTGAAGGACAATAATGTTTGGCACTGTAAACATTTGGATTAAAAAAATATGAACTTACAATAAGAAGTCTTGTTCCCAACATGGATGGTTTCCTTTCACCTGGATGGTCGTCGATTTCACATTTTGGAGTTTAAGGGTCACATAGGTATTAAATCGTTCTGAAAATAAAAACACAAATGACTTATCATTCATTTCAAGTATTCACGAAAGAAATAATAGGTAATACTAACAATAGCACAGTGTGTCTTTGATGATGTGGTACAGAAATTGGACTTGTGAGTCAATAAACAAAAGTTGCACAAGTAATAATCTACAATTTTGTTGTTAAGAGATAATTATTTTGATATTCTCTGCATAGTTATTGTGCAGCTCATTCTTGACAAACAGTAGGTACATTTAGAAGAAAAGATATTCATAGACAGCAGCTTATCCGAAAGGAAAACTTGGATGTTAACCATATTTTAAAAGGATCATGGATGCCTTCAAGAAATCTCATCTCTATTGTGATCACAAGCTTTTCCAGACACGTAAATACATGTCCTAGAATTTTAAAAATCCAAAAGTTTCACCCTCTGTTAGAAACTACTCTTGATCACCTTAACAAGCCAATTATTTAACTGTGGGTCATTAGAACTGTTAAATCAAATAAATAAATTTTCATAATAATTTACTGTACATTGGGTGACCTACTTCAGTATCTTATTAAATAACATTTGGTGCATGCAGTACTACAGTATCTAAATGAAATTTACCAGGATTAAACAAATTATAGAATTTGATTTTGGAGTTTAGGTTAAAATCACTATTGATCCTGCAATCCAAATATTTATATCTTACGATATGACTTTGGAAACTGTGTGTACATCATAACCATTCAGTAAACATAACATGATGTTTCAGTATTAATCTAAACGATTGTAAATATTTGTTTTTACATTTACATGTACAGTATGAGTAATATGGATTTATTTTATCTGCAACACATATGTTGATCCAAAAATACATGTAGTTGTACCAGTATGTGCATGTTTTCAAAGAAAACGAAATTGTTAACTTGTTTCATTCAGTTCTGTTCAGCTTTTTCATTTCAGACTTGTGCCAGTCTGTCATTTTTTGACATACATGTATTTTTATTTCTTTTTAGCAATATCTCAGTTCTTGTTCTTAAACATAAAAACTATAAATGTAACAGTGTTTATTATGCTTTAAGGTTTAATTCTTTGAAATTCTAAGTTCATCGGTCAATTTCACTGCCATTCAGTCAAGGTTGGCTAATATGACTGAAACTAGAGCCCAGGTTTCATTATTATAAGGATATGTCTTATTTTGTATAATTTCACTAATTGCTTCAAAATGACTTTAAACTAGACGATAACTATTTCCTGTTTAGACTTAGAGAACAGTTAATGGCTGATTTCATATTAAATCATTTCAGGTCTTGATTGTTTGTTTTATGACCCCAATTCCAAACATCCCTGCTCTCCCTGAAAATCCTCACCCAAATTAGGTGTTTTTGTTTTCTTTTCACAATGTACTATCACATCTAGCAATAAAACAACCCACAATATATTTAACTGAAGATTTCATTTTTATTCTCTCAATAAAAATGTCCCTTGTTTTTAAACAGATAATCATATAATTAATCATCTGATTATTTAAAATAAAAGCCTTGATGTATATGATTGTGTGTATAGATAAGCTGGCATGCTAATTATTTATTATGTGTATACAATTTAAATGTCAGTACATTATGTGATATACTATTTATGTTGCCAGCTGTTACTGTGGACACACCCAACATGATAAGTAGATAACAATCTATACCGTTATGTGCACATAAAATCATACTTTATGTACATTAACAATGAGATTTTCTGATATAACGCATATTTAAAAATTAAATTGATTCCAGAATCTCGTTAATTTCCTTCTGGTGACAGTTAAATGTACATGTTGCAACATATGTTTAATGTAAATTGACTGCTCATAAATGTTGATTTCCGTTAATAAATCTGGTTATAATGCAAAGACTGTAGATTTTATTAATACAGTGAGCAGTGAGTTAATAATTATTCACATTTGTTGTTATAATGGTGGTATTCCAATGGCAGTTGCTATTAGTGGACTTATCATTAATAAATTCTAATATACACTTCGGAAATTAAACAAACATGAACAAACCAAAAGCACACTGCTTCATGCACCAGCACACCCTAGCATATTAATCAACCCTTTTACTTACAAACATCACAAGCAACTCTTGTAAAACCAACTATCACCCCTGGTAATTTACTTCAACCCTGGTATAGGGCCGACACCGGTATCCCTGTGAACCATTAACCCAACACGGTTTCAGAATATGGAGAATAGTATACATGTAAATAGAACTTTGAAGCATGAGTCTAATCCGTCTAAGTTTCAATAGGAATGAAACTACATGTATCTCATAATTAAAGGGATAGCTGGTCAGTTGGTATCAATGCCAATGACCAGGTAAAAAAATAAACAGTAGATTCCATTTTATTTTATTTCTTGATCTACCTGTTCGGCTCTGATTGGGCTAACGAATACATGTATGCATGTATGCTATGAGGTAAACTGTGTGAGGACAGAGGCCCTATGGGCAACTCTTATATCAAATTCCAATTAATGGTTCTTTTATGTGCATGCCAATGTGTAAACAGGGCCTTGTTTTTTCGTCCCATCTAAACGACTAAATGCTGTGCCTTGCCAAGCCCTCTGTTTTGCACCACTGACAAGGGGGAACCAAGTCAGAAAATCCTGATGAACTTCCTAGGCCAACACAGGGATCAAACATGGGACCTCCAGGTTAGCGAGCCACTGTGGCTCTCTGTGGTGCAAAACAGAGGGCTTGGCAAGGCACAGCGTTTAGTCGTTTAGATGGGACGAAAAAACAAGGTCCCATTTACACATTGGCATGCACATAAAAGAACCATTAATTGGAATTCGATATAAGTGGAACAAACAACATTCCAAACATTGACAATATGTCACAGGTAAGGTTCACTCGATAAAATCAATGTAGATTTATATCAATGTCTATCTACAGGACAATATGTCCCTACAATACATAATCATTCTAGATATTGAATACACTGAGAACAGGCAGGTGTTCTGATCAGGTTAAGTTTGTTTAATAATACATTGTATATCATATAAATTTCCAATTAACATTTCCTTCAGATATTAGCACGCTACCTTAAATAAGAATCTTTATTGATTTGCTCAAATCTCCGACTTGAAGTTTAAGAAAAAACGTTAGTCAATTATTTTCTTGAAAAGCAAAATTGGAAAACTGGCGTTAAATTTATGAAATATCAGTATTTATCAAGTCAAGCAGAAAATAATATTTATTACAGTTTACAGAAGAGAGCATTCTAAAATACATGTATTATCATTAGAAATATAACACAAACATCAATACTGCGAAAGAGATTTGTAACTAGGATTGGATTGTCCATGCATATATAACAAATGTGTACAAAACCAATATGTGCCAAGTGATCATTCATTTTGTAGCATAAATCACTGTTTCTGTTTTTTTACATTTTCCACAATAATTCTGTCAACTAAATTACAACTCTGTACTGCCTGCAGACATAGGTCTCATTAGCGCTGAATATTTACCACGGCTGTAGAAATAGTGAAAGAGAGAGCAAAGCAGATCACATTATCACCAATATCAATCTTTCTAGCCCTCTAATATCTTCAATCACATAATTAGCACACTGAGGCAAGATGGCGTTAGGCGTAAATTACATCCCAAGTTTGCTCATTATAGTGAAAAAGTGGAGTTTCTGGTGAAGAAAATATGAACACATCTCCTTCTGTTAACAAGTGTTAATATTCTGTTGCTGGGCAAAAAGATTAACTTTCAAATAATGTAGTGTAATGATGTTCCAGATTTGATATTGTGCAAGATGTCTATGTTGTTTACGTAATTAGTGTCTGTTCATATAACAGATCTGCAAAATGTTGCAATGCAAATCAAGAAAAATACATTCAACAAATTTCTTCATTCCCAACTTGACTTGAACAAACATTAAAGATAGGTTGCCAGGTAACGAAACATACGCCCACAGCAGCTAAATCATCCGGGCAGTCAACAAGGGTTGTCGCATATTTTTACTTTTTTCGGTAATGAAACATTTATAATACATTAAAATCTGATCAAGAGTATCAACTTATGAAGTAATTATCAGAAAACTATTAGAATGTGTTTGGTTTTTATGAAGTTCTGCCCCATGCTAACGTTTAGTATACAAAACTTTTAATATCATGGATTTAGCTGTTCAAGTCATAAAAATTCATTGAAAATCAATATATTTGTTCGTCTCAAGATCTTAAGCTCTGTATAAATCTGAAGTCAATCGGGTGATAACTTTAGCCTCTAGAGCATCACAAGATTTTTAAAAGTGATCAATTGGCAGTAATTATCTGAAATCGTTGAGAATCAATATGTTTCTTGGTCTCATAACCTCAAACACTGTGTATAAATTTAAAGTCAATCGGATATTAACTTCGGTCTCCAGAGCATCCACAAGCAATTGTGGACGCCGGCCGGACTGACGAAAATATACGACCACATTTCAATGTGGGCGTATAAAAAGCACAATGCAAGCTATGTGTATATGTACAAAAGAGTTGTCCCAAATATATTTCAAAATGATGCATTTCATATCCAGATAAGTTGTGATACAATAATTAATCGAACACAATAATTTTGACTTGGTCAAGAGTCATTCCATCAAGCTTTCTGTTATTGGTCTGTGTTAAATGTTTCTATTGATTGAAAGGGATAAAAAAATGTTTTTTTATACTGTGTTTTATTGCACGGTAATCATTGGATCTCAAACTGAAATGTAGGCGAAACTTAACATTGCTAAGCAAATCTGGTGTTCGTGTCTAAATAAGATTTTTCTTCACATCTTAGCATTTGATTTGCATACTTAAACCCACTTTTAACAGTATATTATAGGACAGTTCCGGTAAGCAATTTAATAGAAGTCAATCTTGTATAAAGATGATGACAGAAGGGCATAAAATGTTCTTATCTAACATTGTGGGAGCAAGTTACAGATATCAGATCATCAAGATAAACTGACATTAATCTATAATACTGATTTTTAATCGAAAG